ATCATCATATTTATATTATTATTACTACTACTAATACTATTAAAATAAATTATTGATTTTAATTATTATCTGTAGGAAATTTTAAGAATATAATATTATGATAATAAGTATTAAATTATAATTATAATTACTACGATTTATGCAGGTATCTGTCAGTCGAGTTTATATATATATATATGATAGTTTAAAATATTTCATGATCACAAAGGTTGTAAAATATATTTTATTGTAATAAATAATTATTATTTAGTAGGTACAATATTATTTTGAGCTTTGTTAAAAAAATATACATGTATATTTTTCATAGGCGATAAAATTAAGTTCCAATAAACAACAATAATGTTTTATTTTATTATATTATTAAAAGTTATTCCAGTATTTTTATTCGTGCACATTTAAATTGGCAAGAACAAATAATAATAATTTTCCTTCGAATTAATATGAATACYACAACTTTATGAATAAAAATTCTACATTATTTGTTACCAGTTGTTAGCGAATTACTCAAAATGATTATTAAAAGAATATTTCGACTATCTTCACAATATTTCATGACAAATCACTGAATCTGGACATACTTTTTGGCATTTAATTACATATTAGTAAATTACCATACCATTTTTTTATTTTATATGATAAACRAAAATGATTATGCTAAAAATAAATTAATGGCATTACGATATACTAATATGTATACATTTTTAATATACAATAATAATTTACACATATTTTTAATAATTATTAACTTTTTAACCTGTAATTAATGCGTCGACACATAAGTTTATTTTGAAGTTGAATTCGTCATGTATATTAGGCAGTACATAATATAATAAAAATAATTACTAATTATGAAATATTTTATTTATTATTTTAATCAATTTATTTATTTTGACTTGGCGAAATAAGACATTTTATTTTTTGAATAAATTATACACTTAAAAAAAAAAAAACCTAATTCAAAATAATTATTTTCTAGGATTTCATGTTCAGTAAGTGCCTATAAATTAGTATGCATGAGTAGGTACATAGACATTATAACATAAGATATTATTATTTTAAAAAGTATAAAGAAATCTATGATGTTCACATTTTTTTTCGGATGATCAGACTTCATTTTTTTTCCTATTAGGATTTGTTAAAACTTTCTCTTTCTTTAAAGTGGTTTTGATGGTGAAACATCGTTAGATCCGGGTCCACCACTATATTATACATACATCACAGCTAGTAGTTATCATTCCATACTAAATATTACTATTAACTATTGTAGTACTCATACATTTTCTACAAAAATATTTCAACATATAATAATAAATTGAATGCTCGAATTATAACTTAAGAAAAAAAGTTTTGAAAAAAATTAAAACTTTACGTGAAAATATTTATTTTTTTACACTCGCTCAATATCAAAAAAATAAAATTTTACTGTGTGTCATAATAATGTATGACAATATTATTATAACTACCAAAATAATACACCTTATAGATTGGTTTGTAATATGTTGAATCATAATTATTAATTTACTATGATCATTAATTATGATATAAATTTTATACTGCCTAAGCGGATATAACAATTTTTTTTTCTGAATAAAATGTAAAGACCGGAATGGAAAAGTTTTTTTACTTAAACTAATTCCATAAAAAATGTGTTTCTTAACCTTTACAAATTATATTTTTTAAGCTAAATAAAGATAATTTATAGTTCAATTTTATATGTGCTGAGTGGGTTGTATAGGTATCGTCAAAATATTTCGTTATTATTAAACATTATTATACATTAGAGAGAAAACTATAAATCATTACAATAAAATTTCTTTTCAAAAATTACTGTTAAAAACTAGCAAAAACATGACTTTATTATGCACTACATTGRCATCAACTAACTTACAATWTTATAGATTTAAAATTCATATATAAATTGACTTCAATGATATTTTAGCATAGATCACACTGAATTAATTGAGAGAAATATTTTATGAAATGAAAACTAATTATTATACATAGTAGGTATTGTATAATAATTACATTATTAAATGCAAAATATACCCATTTACCCATATTTATTTAGACTAAAAATTTGAACGTAATGTTTTTATTTATTAGTATTAAAATTAAAATTTAATAAAACATATTATTTTTAATTATTACAAAAATAGTATATTATACTATCTATTCATATCTATTGTACATCAATAATAGTTTATACAAATAAATATGGCTTTGTTTTTAAATATTCATTAATACATTTCATGTAATAATTTAATTCTAGTTTTAAGCTAGGTATTTATTATTTTAGCTTAAAATGTTCATATAGCAGAGATGCGAAATCTGATAAAAAACTAGTAAGTATTTTAACATCTGGTACATCGGAACGAGCATTAAAGTCTCCGTTAGATATATGACGATTCGCCAATACTCACGTTTTCAAATAAATAATAATAATAATAATAATTTATGTAACCCAATGGCCTATGTCGCCTATATTTCGTTTAATAATAAAAAAAAAATAATGATAATAATAATAATATTATTATTTATTTACAGTATAATATTATTATGAAAACAATAAAACAAATATTTTAYTCATTTATAGCATTAATTTTACTGTATTTTCGATCCAACAATAATAATAATAAAATAATATTGTTCTTTATCGAATATTATATGATTGCTGTCAGCTAAGTCTAAACTTCTTAATATTTTTTATTTTTTATTTTTTCATAATTCGGGCGTAGGTAGGATGTATATATTAACCTATCCTATCTGAAATAATTACAATGATCCGTGTGTGTATATGACCCGAATTCGTGTCCTTGATGTGTGCGTGTGCGTATACACACACATGGACGGATGGGAAACGTCCGTCGGAATGTTACGGCCAAGGTTGTGTTGACCCACAATGAGAAACTAGTCGCGAGCGCACGGTCTCTATACGGTCATAGATATTATTATATAGGTATTATAATGAAGGTACACGAAATAAATTTAAAAAAACATCGATCCGCGGCCTCCAGACTACTTTCCATCGTCGATCGCCCATCGGGCACCTGCAGCACTTTCTTCTCTCTCCTATTTGAACGCGCTTGCGCGCGTGTGAATAAACCGTGGATGATAGGTGTGTTAGGTGTATTATATATATAAACTCTGAAATAAAATGCACACACGCTGCACAGACACACCTAGCTACGGGACCAATGGTTCTATATTCTACGTCCAACCGTCCGGCATTATAGTACAACATTTTTTATCTGGATAAAATAATTTMCTTTTTATACAAAATATTATACGATAAGTATATAAGTATATAAGCTTATGATGTTAAAATATAATATGAAATTATCGTAATTAAATCGGAAACTTGTAAATTCGATGCTCCGGAAAATTGGCGTATATAATAGATTTATATAATATAAAGTTACCCGTGATATTTTTGTGTCCCAATAAAGAACACAATATAATCATAATGTTATGATATATGAATAGCGTATATATTTTCTAGGCCTTTGGACATTTTGTATAGCTATGTGGTTAGGAAGGTATTTATATAACTCGTATAAGTCATCAGATATACATTTTAAAATACGTTTCAAAACGTATTGAATTAATAGTAAATTAAATTTTTTTGTTTTTGTACTATACAGGTACTTACTTAGTAATTTTTATTAGTTTTATAATTTAAAATCAATTTGTCATATAATATATGGTTATATACATTCTTTTGAAAATATTTTCTGAAGATAAAATATTATTCCTTTTGCAGTCTGTTGTCATTTTGTGTTTGGCCTATTGCTACAAACAAAGCTTAAATGAAGAACAAAAAAATCTTATTCCCTATATTGTGATCTGCTATTAACATGATAATATAGATAGTTAATGTAAACAATTTTTATTTTAATTAAAGGTTTACTGACATGCTTTTTGAACCCATGACGATATATATAGTTTTTTTGTGCATGAATGTATTTCATGTTGATTAACTTTACATTGTTATCTAATATTTAATAACTCGCTATATCATATATTTTATACTTATTAATTTATTCCTATAAGTACAAAGTCGAGACGATACAACTTTTTAATTATAAATATTATGTGTCAATAATATTTCCACTGTTGGTACAACGGTTTCATCACTCGATTACACGTATCACCTGAAAATCAAAAGAAATCATATTTTATCACTATTGAATATTTGTATTTAATCACATATAGCCTTATAAGTATGTTAAATTAAAATTTCGTATTATTTAGAAAATATATTTATTTATTAGTATATTTTTAGTTTTTATATATTTTTTAAATTCTAAAAGACATTATTGGATATATTTGTATGTTTTAAGCCATTTTAATTTTTAGGTAATCTTGTAGATGCAATAAGAGAAAAAAATTTCTAATTTCTAATATATTCTGTACTTTAGGATCTTAGTATTACATAATAAATTTACACAGGGATAAAATAACTTCATAGTAAACTTTAAATAAATGTACATAATAAATTATGTATTTCATTGCACAATTCAGTTATTTAGTAAATACGTAAACGATATTAATGTCAAATTTTAAGATATTAGTAATAATATGTTTTGTAATTATTCACTGATAAATATTATAGTTCAGATACTGTTTACAGCTAAAATATTTATATTTACAAAAGGGCTTCAAAATACATTTTATTCTTTATGATTGTTGTGTATACGCATGTCACATGGGTCATTAAAGAACAATAATACACCCACACTATGCGACTAAATAGAAAACACAAAGTACTCATTTGCATTACAAACGTGTGATACAAGTAATCGATTCCAAACATTTCTTCATTGTGCCTAACAACGGAAAAAAAATTACAAAAACAAAACAATATTATAGTTAAAGATGACTGTTTTGACTCGAAGTAGTTGCTCCCTATTGTTCCAAAAACACACACTCAATTGTTTACGTGAAAACATACGTAAAAAATCGAATAAGACACGAACAATTCACACACTAGCTGACTTGGCATTTGGTAAGTTTTATTAATAAAGGACTTAATTTAAATATTGTGTTCAGTTCTCGTCGAAGCGTCATCATAGTCGTTGGAGATGTGTTTTTGAACTATAATGGCTCTAAAATTAATTTGCCTGGCTACTTTTGTTACTGCGGTGCCATTGACAGCGTTAAACCGTAGTGCTGGAAAAAAAGAATCTGAATTCGACAATATATGGGAAACAACCATGAGACAAGGTAATAAAATTTAAAATGTTATTAATAATGAAATTGAATTGTATATTATAATATACTGATAATTGTAATTTACTACGAAAATATAGCTAATAATTTACAGGTATAATATTTGAAAAATTTGCTTAGTCGTTTAAACATTGTTAAGAACATAATAATGTACATACTAGTAAATAAATAGATTTTTCAGTTATATTAAAATATTTATTTTTTTTCTAATTCATTCAATTTGTTAATCAAAATTATATTAATATTGTTGTAAAATAATAATGAATTCTAATTCAAAAGTTATACAACACATAAAATGAAGTTAAATGTTTTTAAACTGTTTAAATCTAATCATAATATTATGTTTAACTCATACGTTATAAATAATAGCATTATAACTTCGTTTCAGATGAATCAATAATAATTGTTATATTTACCTATGTATTGAATTAGTACACCCAATCGAACTAACATAAATCATTGATCGGAGATTATGTGTATAACCGTAATTTATCCATGGAAATGGTTTCGTACCTGAAAAATTTCTTGAAAAAATTTAGAATAGTTTGTTTAAGTTGTTACCAAATTCGGTAAAATAAGTGTATTATTTATTTATATAAATTTAAATTTCACACAAATAAAAAAATTACGTATGTCGTGTTTTTTCTTTTTTTAAATGTATAATTAAAAAGAAATTCAAATTATTTATTTGTAATGATTCATTTTTTGATTTTAGCTTTAAATTGGTTTATTAAAAATTATTCAGCGTCGATATAAAAAAAAAAACAAATACTCTTACTCGTATAAATTTGTCCAAAGTGAAACCATATTTATGAATTATAATTTCATTATTATAAAATAACCATTGTTGGTACTGACATGGAACCTTTTTTAAAACACTGAACATTTTTATTTTACAAATATATTTAAAATTAAACATATTAGTTATTCTTGAAAAAGTTGCCTATTCTAAGCCCCTTAAATTACGAGTATGTGGTGTCTACGCGACCAACTATAACATTATTACAGACACTGTAATAAAATACCCAATATTATTTTATTTATATTTTTATTTACCTAATTATATTAATTACACAATACAATCTCTGACCAATATAATATATAATTAGTGTATTTAAATGTAATAAATAGTGGCGTGAACATAAAATATTCTATAAATTTTAAAAGTAGGTACGTAAATATTTAAAAAAAAGGATAAAGATATCTCAAAATTTGTATTGGCTATCTATATACAATGGTTTTGAGTTTCATTTAAACCATAATTTGTTGAAAAGGTAGAGCGATAAAAGGGAACTACGAGTTAGGAAAAACGGACCTAAGCGAGGAAAAAGATAAGGTGAATAGATTTTGTCAAATATTATTTGAACTAAAACACTAAKATTGTCAACAAGGTTTGTCAGATAATATTTAATATTAATTCTGAACGACAAAACGAACATATTGCTCCGAATTTAAAGACAGTTGGATGATAAACTGTTCTTACCTGCCAGTGTAGTTGCCTATTCCATTTGACTGTTTATGATTTGAGTACTTCCAAAATAAATACATTTAACATTACTCTAGTGCTTTCTAGTGATTAAGAAATGAACTAAAATAATACATTTCACTATTTCTAATATAAATATTAGTTATTACGTCTTTATATTATTAAGTACTTAGTACCTAATATATTCTACACGATTATATTGATATTATACTTAAATAGAATTTATTTAAATTTGTTTTACTTATATTTAGTWTAATATTATTGCGAAAATATCTCTATAGTGAAACTAGCATTAGCCATAGTTTTTTCTTTTCAAATAAAATTTGTCTATCCTACGTTTAAGATTGACTTAGTACATAATATTATAATATAGGAATCGGTATAAATTGAAATATTATATTGATATACACTTGGATTTTCAGAAGAATTTGACGGCATGCCACTACCAGAAAATTCAGATGTACCGACTGTCACTCAAATAACACCGGCAATAGTGAAAATCGGACAACGTTACGGTGTCCCGTACGCAGAACCTTTGGGAAAGAAAAAACACCACCACAATTCTGGTAATTGATTCAATAAAAACGCATACCATCTTCTCAGATGTAAAATAAATCAAATCAAAAATATCGCAGTATTGTTTGATAGCATAGTCAAAAATAAAAACAGGTTAATATTTTAAGTATCTCGCATTGATGATCGCCATTCGCCAGTTATTGGTATGACCAACAACGACAATCGGTCATATGAATTAAATTTTATGAAATTATGCATCTCTGCATTATCTTTTAATATAGGTACAGCATTTATWACCTAATAAATCTTATGATATTCATTTTTGTATTAAGTGATGTATAAGTTAATGTTATAACTTATAAGAAATTGAGGAAAATATTGAACCAATAATTTCAATATATGGATAATTTAATTATATTTAAATTTTGCTAATTTAAATTCCTTTATTAAAAAATTTTAAATAACCCAAAGTAAAAAAATTCACATACCTACATAGACGATTGTTAAAAAAATATATATATATATTAGCTAATGATGCTTGGGATTTAAAGCAATAATTAGGCATGACGTGTTGACAATATATCGAGTAAATAATATAAAAAATTGTCTCCAGACATAAAATAAATTATGGAACGTATATTTTTATTGGTGAGTAGATCTTTAAAATCACTTTATTACTTTTACAACGAAAAACTGAGATTATAAAAATTAGGCAAACCTTTTGACACCTTATGTTATTGTTTTGAGATTTTACGTTAAGTATTTAGTTTTTCAATATTGGTATTTATTTTACAATTTAAAAATAATGGATTTATTTCTATGTTCATAATTTTATATTTCTTATATTATATCTTTCTTCAAATATCTTAAATACGTTTTACATATTCACAACTAATGTATTTTACGTAATGTTATTTATTATTTTAAAGTGCGTTATTCTTATTCGAAATAAATAAAATATTTATAGACCATCAGTTCTTATAAATTGTTTTCGTGTGAAATGGAATATTTATGACATATTATACAGACAATGTTTTTTTTTTTWTTTATAATATGACTGGGTGTGATCTAAAATATTCAAGATAAATTATAACTATAACTATAACAACATTAAAAAAATACTAAAATAATAATAATTTTATATCTATTTCAAGTTAATTTAATACAATTTATTACATACATGTAACAGAGATAATAGTCAAAATATTATATTTTTTATAAAAAAAATATATGTATCGATAGTCAATATTATTATAAAACGATCAATAATATTACAATATAAAGTCCAAACCGAAAGTTATATCATAACATTTTAATAATAATCATTTAAAAAAAAATTGATTGCCATCACGAATCTTAAAATTCATCACTGACAGTACGAAGGTGCCATGACAATTTCAAGTCTTTAGGTTCCTTATATTTTGGTCAGTATGTTGATCAATCAATCATGATCCGTTTGATATTATAATATTATATGCAACTTTATAGGTCTATTATACGTATAATAATATTAATATCTTTATGCCTAAGCTTTTAAATTGCCTTTTAATTTTTCAGTGAAAAACGACGATTTCACGGAGCACGTTGTGGGTGCGTCTCTTATGTCAGGCGGCACGCTGTTGTCGCTGGGTGCATTGGCTATGGTCGTGATGGCCAGCAAAGCGCTACTGTTCGCGTTTGGAGCTATCATATTGACATGTATGAACTCGGGTTGGACGACTGGGTGGCACAAGCCCTGGGAAAAGGCGAGTACCGTCTACGAAGTGGTTGCTAAACCACAGATCACACACGGTCACACCTACTCCGCAGAAGTGCACCACGATCCTTATGCAGCAGCGTACCCACAGCAACAACTGCAGTCTTCGGGTGGTGGAGAATACCACAGCGGATATCCGGTGCAATCACATTGATGGGCGCAGGGAAATGATTCCTATTTACTTTACAATAGTATTATTAATACTTTATTATTTATTATTAATATTAGTATCATCGCTACAATACTAAAATTACGAGTGCAATTATTRTAATTATTATTATTGCTTATCGATTTTAATGTCCTTCCTGAGAAAATATAATACACGGATTGATGACGAGTGTTACATTCAACACGTYTTGTATTGAATTAGGATTTTGATGGACCAGTGTAACAGGTGACATTCACCACTACAGAAGTAGGTAAAAAATGTTGAGGGAGGTAGAATCCAATGATACCAGCCTTGTAAAGAGCAGCATTGGCGGATCCAGGATTTAATTTTGGGGGGGCCCATAGTCCAAAATGCAAATCTTAAAATTTTTCAGTAATTAACAAATACATACAAATAGACAATAATTTTAAATGTGTATTTTTTTTTTATTTGTTGAAGATTATATTTAAATTATAATAATATTGTAAATATTTATAACGATAAAGATAATTGTAATTTCCTAGGATTAGATTTTGAAAACATATCTAACAYTTCTTCAGGTTTTACATCAATTTGTTTATGGATATTAAGCAAAGCTAWCCCGTTTAAACGGTTTTCCCCCATTGTTGTTCTCAARTATGTTTTTATGCGTYTTAGCRTTGAGAAAGACCTCTCACTTGTCGATGTTGTTACTGGTAATATTGCTAAAATTAGTAAAAGTTGACGAATGTTTGGAAAATACCCATCTTCAGTTTCTTTGAATGCGTCTATTGCTGTATGTATTTTTTCCTTTTTTGCTGGTTGTTGAGTCCAATGCAGCTGCCACAATGCAATTTCACCAGTAAATAATTGTAATAATGCATTAATAATTTATTTAAAAAATGTAATACCTAGTGATTTATTATAATAATTGTTTTTACCTTTTAATTCGTCTATGGATCTAGGCAAATCTGCTTCATAAAAAGTGGCACCTTCTATAATATGTTCTTCAGATTTATTGTGTAAATAATAAGGTATCAGTTGTTGGATTTTAAATAATATTGGATTTTGGTTGTCAAAAAACATGGATTGAATAGATGTTATGAAATTGTACAAAACTGTGAAGTATACCGTAATTTTAAAATATTCTTCAGGACTTGAAGTAATGTTGTTTGATCGATTTATTTGTTGTTTGCATATTCGTGGTGTTTTAACTTCARTATTTAAATTTTCGGCTTTTGATACRGCTCGATTAAAAATGTTGYTAAATGTTGCATTTTGTCTTTTGTTTTTAAGAACATCTAATACAGTCTGTATGATTTCAATACATTTAGTCAAATCCAAACCAGGGTCTTGTAATTTACGTGATATTGGCAAAGTCAAAGACAATATTTCTACTGCTACTTCTAAGGCCAAAATAAATTCAAAAGTCAATATTGAATGAAGAAGTCCGTTACATTTAGAAAGTATATTTYCATCCGTATTAACTGTCATGTCTTCCAAAAATTGTACAATAGGTATAAGCATATCGGAAAACCGAATAATCGCCTCGTGAGATTCCACCCATCTAGTTTCACACAACTTTACTAACAAAACTAAAAACCTAACTTATGCCAAKGGGGGGGGGGGCTAGGACCTTCGGGCACCCCCCCTTAAATCCGCCACTGGAGAGCAGATCAGATSTACTTACCTACTATCAAGGTATGCTTATAAACTAAGTTAATTTATAACTTTATAAGTCTATGCTTGTATGTATTACCTACTAGATAATATTATTAGGCAAGCTAACTGTGTTAAGCCATGCCAAGCCAGAATTAATCTAAACTATGTTTGCTGATGAGACTGAGCAAAGCTGCAGAAAAATATCAAACGACCACTGTAGTGGGAATAAGCGAAATCTGTGGCCCATTTAAGTCCTAAAAATGACCGCAATATCGAGTACTTTATCATAAATAAAATAAAAGCATGCGACTGCCGCGTGTGTGTCACGGAAATCGCATCGGAGATAATTCGGTGAATCGTCATGCATGTTATTATATTCAATGCATCGATTGTGATTTTATTGTAATTTTTATATTATAATTTATCGTATAACCGATTTTCATACGCGTTCCGACAATAATGATGTCAACGGCGGTGGATTTTCACGACTCTGCTTTGCAGGTAACGTCTGTTTCTGCGGCGGATTTTTAATAATAAAAACGTCTCCCGCTGTTTCATTATTATGTCTGCGATTAACTATTACTATTAATATTTTTATTAAACATTATGAATCGCATAATAGTCAGGTTATATATGCATCATAATAACACGAGCAGGCCGACAGTAGCTGCCACATTTCACGCATTTCGTCCAGAAAACAAAGTGATTTCTCGTCGAATATCATCACGTTTAATCGTACAATATAATAATATATATTATTTATCATTATTATTATTACGATTATTAGCTGCTGTCGATTTAGCAGCACGTGTGTTGCGTACCTACGTGTTCATTTAAATGTCCRTCAAAATATACTCAAATTGGTCCACCGTCGTCCATGTTATCCTCTACATTATTATAATTTTTATTTTATTGATTCGTAGTTTTACAACATTAAATCAGACAATCAGCCCTGATTGAGCAGCTAATGGAAAAGAATTAAAATAAAATTCAATACCTAATAATATGGGTGATTTGGTGGGTGAGTGGGTAGATACTATCTTACCCGGCAGTGATCAGTTATCAGTTGCCAGTTGCACCAAATTACTTTTGAGTGTATTCAATTTCAGTAATAATACGAGTATTTCAGTGGTAGACATGCTGAAAAWGTTGTGTGTCCTATGACTAAAAATTGTGTACCTCATCAGAACAAACAATTTAATTTGATGTATATAATTACAACTACAATACGTGAATTTATTATAATAATATTACGATAAATCTTATAAAACAGTCTCATAACTAATAAGTTATCACTCGTTTTAAAATATGGTCTTGGATAATACAACATATTTTTATAAAAAAAATAAATAAACATGAAATTTCGACGGAAATATTTAAATTATATAATTTATTTTATATTTTGATTTTTTTCAAAACTAAATTTACTAAACAAATGTTTATAGCAATATAAAATTGATAAGCATTCCATAAGTTTAAAGTATAGTTATTTTTACTAATTTAAAAACAAATTATGTGCGTCAAATGATCATTATTTAATTATGAGTGCTTAAAGTGGGCGTTAAATATCACTTTATAGGTAGCTATACTTTCTTTAAAGGTATTTGACTTGTGATTATAATATAGTTAATAGCTTGTTAGCTGTTACTAGTATCCTAATAATCGTATAATACTTTTTGACGCGGTTTAAATAAATAATAATTGTAGAAACGTGACAAGCGATACAATAGTAGCTTTGCGTATAAATGTATAAATACAATGCCTATAAAATGYCGATGTGCACAAAAAAATTTTACTATTCGATTTTATAAATTGCATATGCTCAATTAGTAGTTAATAATACGAGATTTCTAGGATCATTGTCATAAAAAAAAAAAAACAACAACAACAACAGCAACAAACATTCGAACAGAAACATTTTCTAATTGGAAAAAAAGTGATATCACGGGATTATCATTCCGTCTTTACAAATACGAAGTAATAATATGCAGTAAATACCAAACGTCATACATTAATATTCAATAAAAGTGAAAATGAAAAATATGAACGAATTTCCAATCGTAAAATATGTTTTGAATAGAATTCAATTTTTGATTTTTTTGTTCTTACTTTATTAAATATTTATTGTGCAGCGTTTTTGTCTATTTTATTATAAACAATAATAATAATTGTTTAAATAATTATCAATCACATAATAACAAAAACGAATTATAGTTAAGATTAAGCTTTTAAGGTATCAAGAGAGAATTCGCTGTACAAATATTAATTAACTATTGCGCATTATRATTGTTTATTTTCACAACAATTCACTGCAATTTCAAAACATGCATGCGTATTACTATAATGTTATTTTATATTTGTGTCGAACAGAACATAATTTTTGACTGCTGTTTGATTTCTTGACCAAAGAGTCCTCAAAAATCACAGAATCTACTTAACACATAGTGTGATATTTATTGTTCATCCTTTATCCAGAACGGTCATTTAATTGTGTCTAAATTTATCAGATCTACATAGTTTTACTCTGCCTTATTATATAAACCTAACTATTAAAATGTTCTGAATTCGGCGCTAAGATAACGATCATAATAATATTAAAAATACTAACTAATGACTTACATGAATATCCCGTTTTGTTGTACGACGATGCATTTTAAATGCGACCATCGTTAKTTCGAGCATGACTCGCATGCATCGTGTCATGTACACGTATTTTACTCGTGTTTGGATCTCGAGGATAGACGATAATTGGAATAAACTGCCAGACCTGACGCGTGATTTATGTTCGGCAGTTTAACTGTTTTGCTGAAAAATTGGACAMCAAGCAATTATAGGTAAATACGTGTATACCAGCAAGAATATTATATTATTATATGTTATTATTATTGCAATTAAGAGTGTGTTTTTCCGCTACACACGCTCGTTCTATCGTACATATTACTTTCAGACCATAATAATAAAGACTTATGGTGTACATGATGCGTGTTTGTGTTTGTTTTAGGTTGAACGAAAATACAGAGTATATATAATAATGTTCTATAGGTATTTATGTATGTTCGAACAAATCGGAACTCGACATTGGAAAGAACTACTATGCGAAGGCTTTGGATGAGTAAAATTTGTCTGTTGAAAAATAACGAAAAWAATGAGATTATTGACATGTCACGTACATCTGTAATATGTCCCACATATCCGGAGATCTGACACAAAAAACGTTACGTTAAGTTACTCGAGTTATCGTCAAACATTTTAAGTGACGTTTACATATTTTACTTCGTTRGTACTTATATCTAATATAATATATTGTTTTTCACGTAAATATTCCTCGCTTGAAAATATATATATATATCCAAATACGTCACTAATTGAATCTATTTATGGGTATGATACTATGTACTATACATCTCATAAAAATACGACTCAACGTAAGACGTGTCGGGTTGTATCAACTGTGGGTTAACATTTTTCATGTGACAGTGTTGATACAGACCTTTGTGTTCTTATCGCCGTAAATGGCGAGAAGARGGTTAAGAGTTCAACCTCGCTCAGTAGAAATTTTCCGATGTCACTAA